TATACAGGGTACTAGAGCCCCTGGGGCCCGATATAGTAGGTACCTGAGAGGTGAAGGTAATATGCAAAGCACAAGTATACACCTCCTGGTTCAGCCGGAGAGCTTTTGAAGAGCCTGGCCGGAGGAAGGGGGCAGCATGGGACTGCGTCTACTGTAGGGGCCGTAGTAATTAGAATAGGGTTTTGGGGCCCATTATACTCTAGTTATAGTAAGGAAGCCCCAAAAGGGTTTTGGGGCCCATTATACTCTAGTTATAGTAAGGAAGCCCCAAAATAGCATTGGTAATTATATAGGGCCCTATATTAAACTATTATGTCAGGGAAACTGGTGCCTGGACAAAAGTACTCATCCACATGCACAGAATTTGCAGGGGACCGACCTCGCCGTATCCTGTGCATGCCTTCAGCGAAACATGAGAACTGCCACAAGGTAAGCTCTCAGCAACTTGCGTGCTACCGACCGACCTACTGCGAAAGCGTTGCAGCCTACTAAATGAATTGGCAGTTCAAATTAACTTAAACGGCATCTGTTGCAGTTGTCTTCGTCTACCACATGCATTATGGCTGGATAGCGCAGTTCAGCTGCAGCTTACCTTTCCCTTTTCTGCTTGAATGACAGGCTGCATGGTCTTCGTTTGTCAAACCATCCGGGTAGCAGCTCTTGGCGGATGGCTGTAGTTTAGTTTTGCAACTCAAACCCTCAATCACAAACCCTACACTACACCCGAAATTCCATCATATGGCTTTGGCTTTTGAGGGTCTTTTATATAATCTATTTTGTTTTGCAGCGCAACATCTTGCCATCAAGCCTGGTCTGCTGGTTGGGTCGCGTCGACGTCGAGCGGGAGGCCGTCCCGTCGCCACGCCTCTGGACTGACTTCAGTCCCAGGACTGAAACACCAGGAGTCCATTTCAAACTGTGCCGACGATTTGGGGCTTTCCGAAAATAGGGGACCCTATTTTGGGTTCCTTATAATAAGGATCCTATTATTTGGGGTACTATATTAGGGTCCCCTATTTTCGGAAACCCCCATTTGGTACAAACCTCCTCCGGGACGACAGGGGAGTTCCACCGCCTGACTGAGGAGGCCTGAAAGGTTTGGAGTCCTGGGTGCTACGCCTTCTCGGGATGCAGCTACTCAAGGGCACGAGACACCAGGCCCCAAAGAGAACGGATGATACTGGTAAGATGAAGAGTAAAATCTAATCATGTTAATGAGACTAGTAATGGTTCGGGAAGGATGCCCGGGCTTCTGTCAATCGGATGGGAAGTCTCGACAATTGCAAATCAGGCCCAAGCAAGATGCGCCCGTCTCAGGGTGGAAAACACGTCTATAGGCCTGTAACTCGACTAACCAGCATGTCATGCTTGGAGGCTTCGAGGGGGAAATGTTGCTCTAATCAGAACAATACTAATAACAACTTGAATAATGCTAAAACCCTGACTTTCATTCTTACGACCCGTGCTGTACTGTTTCGTGAACTGCCCTCAACCCTAAAGAGGTGTGCCAAAGACCGTGACTGCTTGGCCGCGATAGCTACTTCAGTCATGCACGCCACCTCGCGTGATCGAAGGAGCTGGAGATCTGATTCCTCAGTCGTCCAAAGTTTATGAGAAAGCAGACGGACTTAGGATGCGAGGGTTTTGGACATAGGGTGCCAAGCCAACAACCCGAAAAGTCGAAACCTGAGGCTTTACAACGGCTTAGGGGAGGTTTAACTAGGGACCACAACCTTACAAGACCCAAGTCTCAGGCCCAGTACGTTTAGAAAAGCTCCCGAAACGCCAAGCCTCACACCTGCTAACATGTGAGAATAGGATCCAAAAACCACGCCTCAGGTCCAGTGACACCCTGAAACCCCGAGAAAGAACACACCCAACACATTCCAATAACAAGCCTCAGGCCTACTGAAAGCCTCAGGACAGGCTCCGTGCCCCTCCAAACCGAAACCTGAGGCCTCCTCTAAGATTGACCCTTACTACTGGCAGAAGTTGCACGAAATGCAACACGCCCAAAAATGCCATGATCCGCTTTTAACGCCGGCCGGCGCATATTAAAGAGGGCCACGTAATTTAACCCGGTCCAACAGTACATCTCACCCTGCAGTAGCGACCCTTCAGGTGAAACCCCCGAAAAGCTGGACAGGCTGCAGAAATGTACTGAAAGCACCACTTTGTGTGGGAGCCGTCTGTGGCGATGGTGGCGAGCGTCTTTCCTGGCTCTGGGGGCTCCCTGGATGACAGCGTTCGGGGTGTACAGCACTCCCTGGGCTATCCTGGAACCTCGAGGAAGGTCCCTTCTCAAGTGTCTTTCCGAAAGGGTGTCTCTTGGAACCAAAGCTAATTTGGAGGAGGGTATTGTTTGTCAATGTTTGTCACTTAACCAGTTGAAGTGCCATAAGGCGTTAGTACAGAGAAACGAGGAGAACCGCACTGCTGGTAAGAGTTGCCAACCGATACATAAGAAGCATACTCCGCAAAGGCTACGTCCATGGCCACATACACTTCTACCACCTACTGCCCAAGACTTTCTGAAACCCAGTGCTTGACCTGTTTAGCCAAGCCCATGGCCTGCATACTCCGCATCGAGACCTGAGAAAATAGAACTTGGACCGGTAGGCACCCTAAACCCTGAACCTTTCCCCAGTAAGCCCCGCCCCCAAACCCAATCTCCCGTGAACTTGCACCAGCCTAGTAGCCAGGCCGTCCCAAGAATTGGGACTTAGAAAAGCTGGTTCTTCTAAGTGGGGAGGGGTATGGGATATTTTCCAATCTAATTTCATGGGGAGAAAAATGAAGCGATCTTATTGCCATCTATTCAGACCCATATCTTACAATGACAGGCAAGCGGCCATGGCTGCAGCATCTGATCGCTGCGACAGCTGCTTCATTGCTTGCGAGCTCGACCCTGGCGTCAGTGCCGTTGCCATGCTAAGGCGATATTCACGTCGCCATCTTCACTCATTAATGCGAATAACGTTTAGCAGTGCTGATTGAAGCATCTACGTTGTCGTCAGTTCCATCACCGTCATCAACATCATCACCACCATCACCACCACCATCACCATCATCATCATCATCAGTATCATCGTCATCAGCATCATCATCAGCAACAAATATGGCATAGGCGTTACAATGGACACAGATCCCGCCTTCGTTTCATCATGGCTATCTTGTGGGTCACAACCTTGATGACGAAGACAGGTGCAGAAGAACAGCTGACGATGGTGGTGGTAGTTGTGGTTGTGGTGGTTGCTGTGGTTGTGGTGGTAATAGTGGCCATGATGGTCACGGTCTTAAGCCTCACTTTCACAACCAACTTGCCTGCCAGTTTTCATCATGCAGCAAAGGCAGGCGAAGAGGAAGTACTTAATGCGTGTAGTGAATCAAGATTCTATAGAATACCCACAGGACAGGCAAGGCCGTGACAAGCAAGAGAATTTGTCTGGTTCCGCACGAAATTGTATAGGCAATCTTTCGAGGAAAAGTTGCAGGCATAACATCCAGCTTTGCATAATCAGCGAATGTTATCAGTCCCGGCGCAATCATGTCTGGACGTTACAACATCTAGCGAGGTTAAACTATCCCAACCGTGAAACCTTCCCCGCTGCAACGATAATTAGCACTCAACCTCTCAAGAAAACACCATAATTGCGCGTTCCCAACACCCAAAATCCTATTCTAATCCTAACTGTAGAGCCTAAACCCGAAACCCTGAGCCCCAAGCCCTACACCCTAGCCCTGCCTGACCCTGCTTCTCGTGTCAGGTGAGGTTGCGGATGGCTTCGAGCAGGTGTGGAGAGCAGTTGCTCGAGCAAGTCATCCTGAAGATCCAGCCGGTGCCTGGGTTTTTAGGATTATTCTGAAGGTTAGATTTAAGGGTTGAGGGTTTAGGGTTTAGGGTTTAGGGTTACTCTGAAGGTTACTATAAGGCTTCTATAAGGGCTTTATAAGGGCTTCGAGTTTAAGCTTGAGGCTTTAGGACTTCAGAGTAGCATGTTGCAGACAAGCGCTTCGGGAGGGAAGCGGGCAAGGCCCTTCAGTTCCCTCTGAGTCAGAAATCTGACCCTAGGGCTCTAAGGTCTCATATTTTAAGGCTTTTTGGGCTATTTTGAGCCTTAGGGTGATTCACTAAATCGGAGGTGCAGAACTGTGTCGTGCTGCCGCTGAAGCATGGAGAGGCACCTCGAGAAGTGCAGACCAAGAGTCAAGGAAGGAGGGGTAGTACATAAACCAGCTAGGCACACTGAAGCGTCTGCAAAAGCATGTGCAGGTGTGTACATATATGTGTATATATACACATATCTATACAACATATATATATATATATATATGTGTATGTAGGTATGTGTGTGTATGTATGTACACATGTATGAATGTATGCATGGATATATGTATATATAGCTCATACCAATGTATACATGTGAGGATATTTTTGTATAAACACATACACATTTACACATACATACATGCATCTATACATACATACGTATATGTATATGTAAAAGCATATGTATATGTGTATGTATATGTACAT